TGGTAGCTTCTTAAAGATTAGTGAGGTGGGGAATCTGAAACTGTATCAATGAGTGTCCATGACCTGTCATTTGTTTTGAGTTCGAGCCCCGTGCTGGGTGTAGAGATTACTTTAAAATCTTGAGGCGCCTGGGTGGCTTAGTCAGCTGAGCATCCAACTCTATTTCAGCTCAGGTAATGATCTTTGGGTCATGAGATGGAGGCCCTCGTAGGGCTCCCTGCTCAGTGGGGAGTCTGCTTGTCCTTCCCCCTCTGCCCTGGCCCCTCTCATGTGTACCTGCGCTCTCTCTCAAATAAATAAATACATCTTTTTTAAAAAAGAAAAATCTTAAAGAAAAAATCCAATGGTCCACCTTGCACTTTGAATGGATCTTTTATTCATGCATGACTGTGTCACATGCACTGGCCAGGTTCGACCCAGTCATACAGGTCTCTGAAATATTGACTCTTTTTATTATAAAATACTTTTTAAAGTCACAACTGTTAATATTACCCCTTCTCACATATGTTTTTTAAGAAGAGGGAAGCTATCAAGCCTTCAGTGGTGGATATAAGTCTTCCTAAATTAACATTTGTGCTTTCAAGTGAAAATGAGATCACCAGCAACAAATACTTCTCATTTCCCTGAACTGTTTACTTCATTCATTTTTAAGATGTCTGACAAAAGCTCATGTCTGAGTAGCCATACCAGTTTTATTCTTTCAAACAAAAATGATTTCCCAAGAGAAAAGCAGCTGGTTCAGCTTGCAACTCCAACAACTGTACATGTGCGTTCCCGTAAGACAACTATCATACTCCGGTGCCTGACAGAAGTGCTTCACGTATACTTCCCATTTCATGACATTTGGAATGTTAAAAGACATATGTTTAAGGGTTGAGATTTAATAACCATAGTTTTTACTATTTCATTGAGGTCACTCTTTTTTTTTTTTAAAGATTTTATTTATTTATTTGATAGACAGAGATTACAAGTAGTCAGAGAGACAGGCAGAGAGAGAGGAGGAAGCAGGCTCCCTGCTGAGCAGAGAGCCCATGCGGGGCTCGATCCCAGGACCCTTGGATCATGACCTGAGCTGAAGGCAGAGGCTTTAACCCACTGAGCCACCCAGGCGCCCCCATCGAGGTCACTCTTAAGTGAAAGGAGCCTCTTTCACCCCTGGCAAGCAGGGAGTAAGGGCCGCTGATATAGTTCGGTATACTGCCTCAAATCATGCTCAGGCCGCCGCTGCCTGACCCACCACTGCTCCCGTACCATCAGAGCCAACGTCAACAGCAAAAAACGATGACCGTGGCCAGCAACGAAAACAGCGTGACCCCGAGGACCCTCGTGGGAACTGCTACCCTGATGAGTACTTCCCACGGCCGCAGCTACTTGCAGAATGTGGCAGCTGCTCCCAGTGAGGCCAGGCCTCCACAAACCTTGCCACTAGAGCCTGTCACCATTTGTTTAAATGCCTCTGAAGCTCACATAAAAGCCAGAGTCCTCAGAACACTTCCTCTGAGTCTTCCTCAGAAACAGGACAGGGAAAAAAGACAAGCAGCGGCAGGAACTGTTAACCAAATGTAGGACGTCTATCCCCCGGCCAGTCCTCGGAGGTATTGATGGTGGAGTAAGGAGGAAACAGGTCCACCCTCAAGGGCAGTGACAGTCAATGTCGGCGGGCAAAACCTGGTGCAACCCGAGCTCGGGTGTCTGTGCGGTACTTGGGAAGCTTCCGTTCAGAGAACGCAGCGCGACAGTGACTTTCAACGACCGAGGAGCTCAGAGAAGCAACAGCGTGTGACAGAGGAGACAAAGACACAGCTGAAGGACACTGGGCGGTTTCATCCTTAATGTTTCCCTCAGGTTCAGTCAAAAGGACTCCAGAGGCGAAGAGGTAAACATCCAAACAAGCGCTCTGAAAGCCACCCCGCCACCCCAAATGCAGGGACAGCCACTGCAAACAGCACTTCCCCCACTGGCAATCAGTGAGCCTGGACTGCACTTACACGGAGAGTCTCAAGTCCAAGTCACTGTCAAGGTCATGCACTGAGTCAGTGGCACAAAGAGCCTAAGATCAGGAACCATCAGCTGCCAACCTGCAAAATGCTTGCGAATCTAGCAGCAGGCATCACTGCCCATGGCCTTCACTCTGCCAGCTGCCTCCAGACCGCAGAAGGGGGCACTGAGCAGCACGGGCTGGGGGTGGGAGGTCAAGCATAACACCGGGGAGCCTGCGGTGGGGCGCTTAGCAGTGTGCTGGCTCCAGCTCCTGCCTCACTTCTGTCCCCACCTGCTCTGCCGTCACACCCCAGGGTGGCTTGTGCTGAGGGGCAGGGGATGCTATTCCTGAGAGTTCTCTGCAGGGGGGACGTGACCTCCCCGCCTCTGGAAGAGTTACCGGCATAACCATTTTTCAAAGTCCTGAATGAAATATGCATTTGCAGATCAGCGAATAAGCAGCCACGGCCTAAATCAATTCAGTGAAAGCACATTGATCAAGACACCCGCACTCTTTAACTACTCTGTCCTCCTTTTTAAATTAAATTAAATTTACTTATTTGACGGACTGAGACCCAGCGGGCGAGAGGGAACACAAGCAGGGGGAGTAGGGGAGGGAGAAGCAGGCTTCCTGTTGAGCAGGGAGCCCAATGCGGGGCTTGATCCCAGGAGCTTGGGATCATGACCTGAGCGAAGGCAGACACCCAACAACTGAGCCACCCAGGCACCCCGACCCCCTTTCAAAGGATTTGTGATATTTGCTGATGCGAAACGGGGACTTTCTTAACAATATGTCAACCAGCAAACCGTGAGCAAGAGCCCTGGTCTGCTCCTGTGACTTCCTGTTCTGACACTGCTCTCGCTGAATAGGTCGCGTGCTGTCACCTGGTGGAAAAAACGAGAAACTGCCTCGTGTGCCCCAGACAATGACAACAGCATTCAGGTCCTCGTTTCTTTTCACTACAGATGTGTGGGGACAATTCCGATCCCATCTTGGTTCAGCTGGCTAACCATCAACCACTAGCCACCAGCCACTTGCGGAATGAATGGTCACAGAGACGATTCATTACCGTGGTCATCCCCAAGCCCTTCACCGTGGTCATCCCCAAGCCCTTCAAAGCTGGCTGCAGAATGCAGAGAGGCCGTCAGAGGGATCAGGATGATGGAGAAGAGGGAAATGGAGCTGGTGAGGAAGGTCAGAGGATCCACAAAGGGGAACGGCGAGGCCAAGAAGAAAACTACCCATAAAACTCACCAACTGGAGGAGGGCCTCCTTGGAATTTTTAAGCATTTTCAGCCCAGCAGTAAGAGAAATGAATCCAGAAACACCGAAGTGTATAAAGATGAAAAAGTAAAATGTCTCACCTCAAGATATTAAAACATTTTTTAAACTTTACATTTTGAGTAATGTCTATATCCAACATGGGGCTCGAACTCGCGACCCTGAGATCAAAAGCCACATGGTCCACCAACTGAGCCTGCGAACCCAAGCCAGCTGGCTGCCCCTTAATACGTTAAAACTAAGAGAACGACCTATTCATTGACAAAAATAATAAAGGCTCCTTTTTATGTGACAAGCACAGAAAAGGAAGAGAAGACAAGAATATCTCCCACACAGTTATTCTCAGAAGGTGAGTTTTTATTTTTTATTTTGGATTTTTCTGTTTGTGCTGCGGTGCTTGATTAGGATTCTAATTTGTGTTTTATCTTTTGTGATTTCCCCTTACCCCATTCCAAGAAGGCAGGAGGGCTCTCTGAGCTCTGAACCAGGCTAAAAGCAAATCTGTTATACGAAGTTCAAGCTGAAACTCACTGACAAGAATCTGTCCCAGAGGGAGAAGGGAACCCAGTGCTTTTGAAGAAAAAGAGGGAAAAACAACAAAGAGCTATTTCCCAGGACAGGAAAGAAAACGGGCTGGCACATTCTGAGTGGGGCCTGCAGCCACTCAGGAGGAGTGGGCCCAGGGAGGCAGGACCCCCTGGTGCCAGGCCGCCCAGAGCCAGAGCGTGATGAGGGCCGGATGGCAGAAATCTCCAAAGCAAGGACTACGGACCAAAACCACAAGAGTAGCAGACACCCCCGAGTGTGGTGCTCTACGTAAAAACCCCGGGATCCTGCCAGACACTGGCGTGAAGCCTTGAACTCGGGTGTAGTTCAACTTAAAGAAAATCAGAAAATCATGTGGTATTAATTATATGGCAAGTGTGAAATAAGGTACCTATTACCTGATTTCCAATTTTTCTAAAATGAATCCTATTACTTTTACAATAATTAAAGAAAGGGTCAGCAACAAAACTTCATCAACAACAAATGAATTATCTGCCTTGAAGAACACTGCTGTCAGCACCTGGACCCACCGGCGGCTCCGAGCCCTGAGAAAGCACTGCTTCTCAGTCCCTAGTGGTCCAAAGCCCCCCTTTATGCCATCGTGCACTATTCAAATCAGCTCAGAAATGCACAAAACATTTTCTCCGTGGCTTTTCTTAGGAGGGATGGTTAGGAAAACAAAGAGATACAGGAGGGTTATCAAGGCACCGGCATGTAAAGACCAGAGCGTTTCGAAGGTTCTCTGGCGTCGGTCTCATCTTAAATGAATCCTGACACATCTATTTTGAAAGCGTGTTAAATCAGCAGGAAGGGATGCTTTACACATAGCCATCCCCAATCCATTATGCCTCCTGTTCTCACAGCGAAGTGCTATCTGGTCCTTCCCAGACAAGATTTTCTCCTCCTGACTCAGTCTGGAGAAGGTGAAAATCACGCTCACGAGTGGAAATGGAATGAATCATCTTATCAAGTGGCAATCGTCACCCCCCCCCCGCCTCCCTTCACAGCAGACCTTTGTGAAGTTTACCTCCTGCCTGTCAAGCAAACGACCCTGGCTGCTCTCACCAAGTCCCTGGGGCTCCCCAGCCTGCCTCCCAGGAGACAGCAGCCCTTCGCCTCCACCTCCCGGCAGTACCCAGGCTTGCGGCTTTGGGGAAGGACCAGCAGCACCAAAGAGCACAGGGGAACTTGCCTTTTCCATCTGTCGCTGATGCTTCTTGTAAATGCCTGATTGACCTAAAAATAAATGTTTGGAGAACAAAGGTTAGCTGGCAGATCTGCATTCTTCTCTGTTTCCAGCACTAGTAACTCAAGGCCTTGAACTCCCCAGTTCTCAACGGAAAGGGCTGGCCCAGATGGCTTTAGAGCACTCTCCCTAAACAACATCATCTCTGCTAACGGACACCTTGCCTTGTCTGAGGCTCAAGCCTGTGAGTTAAGGATGCCCTCTAATGGCCAAAAAAGGTCTGGCAGGGGCCTGGGTGTGAGAGGACGACAAAGCAAAACACAATCATTTCAACCCTCTTGAATCTCTCCCTCCACCTAAAATCTTTCATTCCCACAACTACACCATCCCGCAACACAGCCGTGGACAGCACCTGCTACCTGGAGAACATGTCCCCCCCGCACAGCAAGGCTAGAGGCTGATTTCTAAAGTCTAGGTCTAGGAGCTCGGGAACACTTGGTTTCCCTCAAACTCCCTATTTCACTGACTGGAGATGCAGAACTCTGCTGGACAAAGTGTCGTCCTCCAGGGAGTCTGTCTTCCTGATGCGATGTGCTGGGTAGCTCATTACAGCAGCAGAGCAGCATTCACACATTCCCGGACGAGCACTGCGAGGGGCCGGAGTTCTAGGTAGAGCGCAGAGGCTGGGAGGGAGAGACTGTCCCAAAACGATGGCAACAGTCCAGGCCGATCCAGCCCAGGGGGAGGACGGGTCTTACATGGGGGCTGAAGTCCTCACAGGCCACTCACTCTCTACCTGACCATGACTATAAGCCTTTTCTCCTAAGGACAGCCACCCCTCCCGCCACTGCTGCCGCTGGGTCATCTTCCCACCCAGGAGAACTAGATGGCGCAGGGCAGGAGAGTCAGCTAGCACAAAGCTCGCACCAAACCCAAGCCAGCAGATTCTGAGCGCTTCAAAAGAACCTTCGATACTATTCCTTAAGTCTCCTCTAGGACCTAGTTTTACATCTTACAGCAACTTCCAGAACCTTCACCTTCGAGAACCTTGCCACGTGGCACCTGCTCGTTGGTGCTGAAATGAACAAGGGGCAGGAAATGGCCACTCGCAGCCCTGAGGCTCACCCGAATCTTCCCCAAATCCCCAAGTCCCTTCTTTCTGATAGGAGTAGTAGATGGGAGAGAAGGGATCAGACTCTGTTCAAGAACAGTCAGGCGCTCTATCTGAAGACAGTGCTGGTCATCCTGTTACAGGTGCCTGAGCTGCCTGCACCGGTAGGACGCGGGGTGGCGGGAGCGCTCAAGAAGCCTCCTTCGTGCTTCGTGGTCTCTGCTGGAAACTAGCTGCTGCACAGCTACGTGCGCCGGCGTGATGTGTGACAGAGTAAGGGTCAAGACTTAGTCTGATCGGCTGGAATAAGGATTACACCCCACTGGCACCATGTTCTAAATAATCAGAATAACTGAAAGAAGATAAATCCCAGGATCCGGGAAAATAAGAATTTACTTCATGAGGCCACTGCAGCGTGGACCACATCATTTCTAATGGAAAGCAGGTAAATATATTTTTAATAATTTTACTCTGGGGGCACCTGGGTGGCTCAGTCAGTTAAGCGTCTGCCTCCGGCTCAGGTCATGATCCCACGGTCCTGGGTTCGAATTCCGTATCCGGCTCCTGGTTCAGCCGGAAGCCTGCTTCCCCCTGTCCCTCTGCCTGCTGCTCCCCCTGCCCGTGCTCTCATTCTGTCAAATAAATAAAACCTATAAAAAATAAAATAAAAATAAAAACTTTATTCGAAAAGAAGTAATTGCTCCCAAACAGCCACGAACTAGTTCACTGTAGCATTGTTGCCAGAACCTTCTTCCTCTACTGCTTCCTATAGAACCAGAAATTCCCTTCACCTGGCATCAGATTTAACAAGGACATTTTCTCTCATCAACCACGGACGGGGTGCTAATGCTGCTTTACAGAACCGGAGCACAGCATGTGCACCTCCGGCCTGCCGTTCTGGGGATACGTACGTGGTGATGCTCTGGGCCTCTCGCTAGTTCAGGATCATGCACTCCCGCACTCTGCGTCTAACCCGGCAAGAAAAGGCTATTTATGGGATTTCAATTCCCTTCCCTCTAAATCATGCTGCTAGGTTACGCTGCTGCTGAGCTCTCGTTTCCAGACCCTTCTCTATTGTCTCATCTGTGTTCAAAGCCACGGCGCCAGATCAGCTCTGCCGGAATGCACTGAGGAACTGGATGCAAACGCCAACCCCAGGCTCCTGCTGGAGACGGACCCACGTCCGCTGGGGAGCCAGGAAGCTGCATGTGTCCGGCAGATGCCCTGCGTGACTCGGACCAGACTGGGAAAGGCTGGTTCGGCAGCCTGGTCTTGTTCGGCACACAAGCCCCGGGGCGCACCGCGGCCCCCTCCCTGCGGGGGACTTACCACACCACTGGGAAGAGGATGGCTCCACAGCACAGCAGGTCTACCAGAAACAGAGAATCCTTCCACAAGCCATACTCCGTAGTCCCCTCCTCAGTGGACTCTATGATGATGTAGGCCACGTTCGCCAGAACCTACAGGACACGAGAAGTGGCTGAAGCCCTAATGCAAGGGCAGATCCCCACAATAGCAGTCCCAGGAGGGGGTGGCCCCTGGGGCCTGCAGGTCCCCAACCACGGTCACGGCATTCTCTCCAGTGCCATGTGCTTTTCAGAACACTATGCTCTCCCCTCACGAAGTGTCTCTGTGTCCTCCTCCTGAGCCTGTGACTGCCCTGAGCAACAGTTAGGTGGCAGTGAGGCCGTGTGATTTCCAAGGTCGGTCATACAAAGGACACCACCTCTGGCCGGCCGGCTCACTGGGGACACACGCCTTTGGAGCCCTGAACTCTCTTGTAAAAGTCTGGCTACCCCGAGCCAGCCAAGGTGGAGAGACCAGGCAGGGAAAGAGATTTGGCTGAGGAGCCCCAGCGTTTCCCAGTCCGCCTCATCGAGTCTTCCCGGCCCTGGACACAGAGGTAAGCGAAGACTTCGAGGAAGCCCCAGCCACTGTCGGACCGCAGGAGGCCCCCACGTTGGACCTGCCCAGCGCAGCCCTTCCTCAACTCCTGACCCACATAGAATGTGAGACAGTATGTGGTTATTGTTGCTCTCTGTCACTGCATTTGGGGTGATCTGTGACGCAGCACAGATCACCAGGACATTCTGCTTTGCTTTTTGGGCTCCGAGGCCTGAGCAGAGCTGCTCAGGTGCTGAATGGCAGGCACCGCCCACCCCAGTCAGCCCAGATTCCTCGGGCCCTGCCCTCAGAGCCAGCGCGAGCTGCCCGACGGTGTTCTCGCAGTGCCAGAAACGTTCTGGAAAGTCTGGGCGCACGTCTGTACATCAATCACTTCTCGCTCAGAAGCGTGCACTGGCTCCCCATGACCACAAAGAAGGAGCTCCCGTTTCCGGGCTGATATTCAAGGCCTTCCCAGACTAGTCCCCGTGCTTATCGATGCACGACTTCCTTGTATTTGATGGTTTCAATGTCCCATTTCCTCGGAGCTGCCTGCCATGGAACCTTGCCGTCAGCCCCCTCGGGGTGTGAGAGAGGGAAGCCGGCAAGGGCTGTGCCCCATCACATCCCAGTCTGGGTGGGGAAGGAAGGTCTACCTGGAGGGACAATAGCTGCTCTGGGGGGACAGGGCAACCGGGAGTGGTGCAACACGGTGGGAGGAGGACCCGGGCCCTCCTTTCAGAGCTGGGAGGCACTGGCAGGCTGCAGAACTCAGCGTGGCCGGAGCTGTGGCCACGGGAGCCCGACCGCCGGGACCCCGACGGCTCCTCAGCATCGCTGCTCACTCGCCAGCAGCAGCACGTGTCCCCGCTACTGTTTTTCTGCCTGCCACGTTTCTCTCCTTATACATCGAGGCAAGGCCGGTCTATACCAAGGCTTCTAGATCGCTCACATGTGGGCCATTCGTCTCTCCCCTGGGAAACCTACAGCCACCGGTCTGTACCACTCACTGGGTGTTAACACGAATCCCTCTGTCATTAACGGGAAGGTGGCTTTGCTGCGAACACTGCCAGACTGCCCATCACCAGAGCAGGTGAATTTGTAGGCCCAGGGGATTGTGCCCTTCCTTGCTCCCCTTGCCACACCCACACTGGGCTCCCAAACGAGAGCAGATGAGGAGAACAACTTTATCAAACACGTGCTCTTTGGCTGAACAGAGCAGTCAGGCATCCCTGCTGGGCCTTCTCTGTTTACTGAGTTCTTTATGCCCAATCTCTGCCTCTCCCAAGGTTCCTCTCCCGAGCAGCTCACAACCAGGCAAGGCTGGCCTTGGCCGAGGGTCCCAAACCAGGAAGGGTTTAATAATAGTTGCCCTGATGTCTACTTAATATCCCACCTTGTGAGAACTCACTGGTGTCATTCACAGTTTTACAATAACTTGTTAATTAAAACACTATACAGCTGAGCTCGGCTAGAGGGCAGCCAGAGGCACGAAGGCAGGCCGTCATGTGTCCTGACTTTCCAGCAGATCTCTACTCAAGCGCAGGCATCCATAAGCCGTTCGCCACGTGAGTGACGGCAGACAGCTCTCAGGGCTGTGACCCGAAGCCTCGGTGTGCCAGAATCCAGAAAGGGAACCCCAGCAGTAGGAGCCGGGGTTTCTGGGTGAGCCACCTTCCTCTGCCTGGACAGGCCCAGAGCTGAGTCCTATGCAGTGTCAGGACACAACCAGGGCGCGCAGGATCAGGGTCCCTTTACCTGGAGCGGGATGACGATCATGAAGATCTTTTTGTCTTTATCAGAAAGGATGTGCTTAATGAAAGCCCAGCCCGTGCCGATGAGCGCGATGGTGATGAACAGGAGTGCCCCTTTCAAGCTGCAAAAGAAAAAGTTTCAGACACCAGTGGCCTCTTCAGATTCTCCGCAAGTTCCACTGCTCAGCTCCTTCGTGACTTCACGGGCTTCTTGGGGAAGACGAGGGGCCAAATTTAGGAAACGCCTCTTAAGTGAAGCAGCACACAAACGGGTTCGCCACGTCCCCCACCTCCGAGCAGCTAAGCCGCCCCGTGGACGCAGCCCCCTCCTGAGCCAGCAGGACCGAGTTCTCAAGTCTGGACAGCCACCCGGGTGCCACACAGCTCTGGCGTGGCAGGAAACCAGACAAGCTGCCATGGGCGGGCAGCGACGTGAGGTGGGTCCCTCCCCACCATGGCCTCCCCAGCTTCTCTGGCACGTCGCCTTGTGGGATGAGCACTTCTCGGGTCACTCTGTACTTACAGGTGAGTGATGTAGTACACGACAGCCCAACCCTCGATGGGAAAGCCCTGGGACGAGATGTAGTGGTAGTCGATCTGCAATGGAACAACCGCATTTCAGAGAGGCCCATCTCCCACATGCCTCACGCACAGGGAAGCAGAGCACGTGCCACCACAGCACCTCACCATGTGGTGGGGGGGTGGCCCCTCACCCCAGCCACTAACACCTCACTTGTCAATTCACAATCCAGCACATGAAGGCACTGCCAAGGTCAGGCAGCACGACAAACCTGCCACAAGTTTCGACACCACCCGCCCACAGGCCAGGCCAGGCCCCTCTCTTGAGGCAGAAGATTCACACGGGCAGACAGCTGCCTGTTATTTTCTTTAAAATCCCCAAGGACCAGGATGCCCTGGGGGCTCAGCCAATGAAGCGTCTGCCTTCAGCTCAGGTCATGATCCCAGGGTCCTAGGATCGAATCCCGCATGGGGCTCCCACCAGCAAAAAAAAAAAAAAAAAAAAAAAAAATCCAGGTGGAATCACGCAGTTTCCCCTGTGCTGTTGTTTTGTCTTTTTGAAAAAAATCTGCATTTCGAGCTAGTTAAAGCCACCAGCACATTTTAATTGAAGAGGCCAGTTTCAGTAGTGCACTCGCAATGCTTCCTGGCACGACTCACAAACGCCAGCACTGATGTCTTCGTAGACCTTTCATCCTGTCACGAACGGCTATCTGGACACTGAAGTGACTCAAGGGTCTTGTCATTCATTACCAACCAAGTTCCAGAAAGATTCTTTTCACTTAGGTCCAAATGGGAAATTATCCAAGTAACTGTCATTTCCAGAGACTGTAACTGCGCACGTTACCAGGCCTCTGATGCCAACACTCTGAAGGGCAGGACAGCGCGTGTCTGGAGACTGTCACCCTCCCAAGTGCAGCTGGCGGGTGCCACTGGGCAGCTGTGACCTTCCTCCAGCGGGCAGGTGCACTTCACCCCGCAGCCAGACCAACTCACACGCCTCCACGTGTAGAGCATTACTGTTCTCTCGAGTAAGTACGCTCACACCAAGCTTCAAATCAAATGGGCACACGGGGAAGGAGAAAAATCAAGCCACAGAAACAATGTGGCAGGTGGTACTCTAATCTTGAGAAAAGACAAACAACAAGGAACAAAAACAAGGAAGGTTCTAGGAAAACTCTGGGTATGTGCGTCATGTTGGAAGCGGTCTCCGGGCTCAGGTCACTGACTGAGGGTGTCAGGATTTATCCCTGTGACGGCCCCTCCCACACCAGATGCCTCATGAGAGAAGGTCTACCCTCATCTTATTTCCCACTGACCTAGCTCCCCTTCCTTCCACTTCGTTTTTCCTGACTGTAGAGACACCGTATCTCACTTCGTAAATGACCCGAAACGTGAATACATACCGCGTGGAACACCAAGGAAAGAGACTTCGTGAAAGGAAGGGCCGCCATCAACCAGTGAATTTTAAATACGTCATTCCTATAAAAATGGAGAGAAAAGAATTAAAGGAATATCCCAGGGGTGCCTGGGTGGCTCAGTCAGTTAAGCCTCTGCCTTCGGCTCAGGTCATGATCTCAGGGTCCTAGGATCCAGCCCCACATCAGGCTCTCTACTCAGCATGGAGTCTGGTTCTCTCTCACTCTCCCTCAGTGCTCCTCCCCTCCCTCTCAAATAAATGAATAAAATCTTAAAAAAAAAAAAAAAAAGCAATATTCCATTCCCCCACCCTCCAAAGGATGGCTAAAGCTCCGGGCATCAGATGCATTTATAAGGAAGCACTAAATATTATCTAAGCAAACCACACCCATGAAGCCCTTTGGAGACCTCATTTCCACCAACAGAAATAGCCCAGACAGAGCCCCAGAGTCCCCTCTTGTGCAGTCTGTGTTGTGACTGGAGTAGCGTTAGGCACTGAAGCCAGACAGGACGAGTTCCAGCTCCTGATAAGATGGGAACCCGTGCAGCTTGCCAGCTTTGTGCCCAGAAACCACCCTGGAAAGGCCCCAGAGTCAAGCATGAGGTGACGGGATCTACAAAACTGGCAAGAAGCCCCTGGGGGAGCAGAAGGTGCCCAGGCTTGGCTGTGGGGGCCACCGGTGGCCCAGAGTGGGGCAGGAGGAGCCAGGCGGCAGGCAGGACCGAAGCCCACCAGACACACCAGGCCAATGGGGGAACATGTCGGCTCCCACCGCTGTGCCTACACAGACACCCGTCCACCTTCGGGCTGCCTCCTCGCCCTGGGACTGATGTCCTAGGACACCAGGCCATTTAGGAGACAAATGTAAAACTCTTAAAGTACATAAAACTTGACTAAGAGCCACAGAAGAAACTCATACTCTCAGATATCAAGACGTTCTGCGAAGCCACAGCAGGCAAACGTGTGGAACGGGTACAGCATTAGACAAGTAAGCCGACAACAGAAAGCCTGACACATGGAGGCTTGACATAGGAGCGATACGGGGGCAGCAAATGAGGAGAACGGGGAGGACTGTTTAAAAACCGGCACGGGGAAAGTCAGCTCAGAACTGCATGTGTAACACACACGCTGCTGGCTCCCCACTTCACAGTTACATAGAGGAGCACTCCAGAAGGGTTCCGGGGCTAAACACAACACACACCTTTTGTGACCTTGGAGTAGGGAAAGGCTTCTTCCAAGACACACGGCCCAAAAGATTATAATTAGAAAGCTCTAACTCCATTAATATTAAAGACTTTTATTCAACAATGAATACCCCAGACAAGTTTAACAGACTGGGAGAAGAAATTGGCAATGTCTAAGACAGACAAAGGACTGATATCCAAAATATCCAAGAAACTCCTGTGAAGCAACAAGAAAATGACAGAAAACCCAACAGAAAAATATGCAAAGCCTAACAACGGTCACAAGAAGGGGAGCCCAAGGGGCACCTGGGTGGCTCAGTGGGTTAAGCCTCTGCCTTCGGCTTGGGTCATGATCTCGGGGTCCTGGGATCGAGCCCCTCATCAGGCTCTCTGCTCAGCGGGGAGCCTGCTTTTCTCTCTCTCTGCCTGCCTCTCTACTTGTGATCTCTGTCTGTCAAATAAATAAATAAAATCTAAAAAAAAAGAAGAAGAAGAAGGGGAACCCAAAGGGTCAGCAAGTCCCTAGAAAGATATTTCACATCACTGGTATTTAGGAAAATGCAAAATAAAATGAAGTACCAGTTTACACCCATCAGACTGGCCAAAAATAAGATGTCAGTGCTGGTACATGGGGAGACAGAAGCCCTGCTGCCCCATGGGTAGAAGTATAAACTAGCAGAGGTGACCCGGCAGCATTCAATGAAATTACGTAAGAATTTACCCCATACCCAGGGCACCTTCTTCTGGGAGTGTACCCCCGAGAGAGCCATAATGGGACAAGGCCAGGGTAGGGGTGGGAGGTCATGGCCACACTGTTTGAGGGAGCCAGGGGATGGAGGCCGAGCCTCACTAAAGGGAGGGATAAGTAGAATGTGGGGATACACACTATGGAGTAGCTAGAAGTTAATGAACTAGACGACACACGGCAATGTAATTAGGTCGTAAGAAAGATACTACTGCATGAAAAACGAGAACAGTATCTGTAGATAGTATGGTTTATAGAAGTTAAAAATACAGGCACTATCAATAAACATGAGCTATTTATAAGAATACACGCATGCCCAACACCACCTATTACCTGCGTGTGAGCAGCTGCGAGAAGCATGAGTGAGGGGTCGGAAATGAAGCGGAATGAAGAAGAGGGGCCCTGCGCGAATGATAAGGCGGGCGTGTCACCAACTGACGCACACTCCCTTTCCGGGCTGATTTCCTCCCTGGTACTTTCCTGTCTGGGGCCTACCTACTTGAAGGTCAAGAAGGAAGTCAAGGCCAGAGGAGTCTGTCACTCCTGAACAGCACTGAGAACCCTGGGTACCCAGAGTGCAGAAGCGCACACTGCCGAGCCCGGCGCTCGCTCCCACGCCCTGGCACCCTCAGTGGCAGCCCTGGATGAGACATCAGCCACAGGGCAGTGATGTTTGGGGGAACACACGCTCCACAGCCACAGCAGCTTGGCACAAATACAGGTTCTACGCTGGCCACCTTAACCCTTCTAAGCCTCGCTAACCTCTCCTGAAAATGGGGCAGCGGCTGCCTCAAGGGGCAGCTGGATGATGAGCAGAAACTACCGGCATCAGGGGCCTGATGGGCAAGGAGCGGGCACCGAAAGCGATCTGTTGTCTTCCCATTCCCACGCTCAGGGGCCCAGGGCAGCACCCAGAGAGACGAGAGGAGCCGCTTAATACTCAGCAAGTAGATGTGGGCGCCGCTCACAGCTGTGGCAGGTGTCGCCGACCGTGTCTCTCCTTTCCCCTCTCAAGACCTCCAGAAGACGAGGCAAAGATCTCCCAGTTCCTTCCAGCAAGAAGGGACTGGGAGCCTCTGAAATATACGAAGCCTTGAAGTCACATCCTTTACGTGACTCAAATTTCCAACCCAACAGCACGGCCTGTAAGTCTCCTGGAAACACACGGGACGGGGCGGAAGGCTTACATTACACACCCCGGTTGTGTCTACTGCCCTTCAGCAAGAAGCTAACACGTGCTGTACAAAGTAGGTCGGCCGCATTTAACCACGGAGTTAAAACTTCCCACAATTTTATGTAAGTGAACCAGTGATTTTTTATCTATTTTATCACTATTACTAATTAACTATTACTAATATCACTATCACTAATTAACTATTTTATCACTAAATACACAGAATGAAAATACCACTGAACATCTGCCCGGTCGACTGTCTTTTATGTACCTCCAATCTGCATAGCACCCTGATCTGCAAAGGCCTCCAGAACACAATATTTCAGGGACAATCACGTAACACACCTAAGGTTCCAAGACCCGTAGAGGAAAGTGGGGCAATGACCCTGTCCCAGTTTTGTGGCTCAGGGAGTGAAGGGAGTCACGCGGGTGGGAGCAGTCCATGTTTACACTTGAAATTGGGCCTCGGGCTCCCACTTCTTACTTTTCTAATAAAGGCAGAAGCAAAACTTTATTTAAAAACCTTTTTATAGGGCGCCTGGGTGACTCAGTGGGTTAAGCCGCTGCCTTCGGCTCAGGTCATGATCTCAGGGTCCTGGGATCGAGCCCCGCATCGGGCTCTCTGCTCAGCGGGGAGCCTGCTTCCCCCTTCTCTCTCTCTGCCTGCCTCTCCGTCTACTTGTGATCTCTCTCTGTCAAATAAATAAATAAAATCTTTAAAAAAAAAAAAAAACCTTTTTATAGCCTGAATTGATAAGATTCTTCTTTTCTTATTAAAGGCTGCCTGATCGCCTAGTCCAAACATGACCATGCAGGGTTCTTCACAAGTAAACAAGTAGCTCTTCCCATCTGGTGCGGAACGAATCTTATGCTAAGTAAGAACCAGCGCTGTCGGGGCGCCTGGGTGGCTCAGTGGATTAAAGCCTCTGCCTTCGGCTCAGGTCATGATCCCAGGGTTCTGGGATCGAGCCCCGCATCAGGCTCTCTGCTCAGCCGGGAGCCTGCTTCCTCCTCTCTCTCTGCCTGCCTCTCTGCCTACTCGTGATCTCTGTCTGTCAAATAAATAAATAAAATCTTTAAAAAAAAAAAAAAAAAAAAAGAACCAGCGCTGTCCCCGCCAAAGCTCCCCACTCCAGCTGGGCGCATCCACCACACGACAGTCAGGCCACCAGGGACTAGAGAGGTCGCAATTTCTGCCCAATGCGCCACAGAAAGAATGATCTGGGTGCCTATTTTATGAATTTAAATTAATCCACGTTATGATCCCATAGTCACACAACATCATTTAACTCAGTTTATGGGCCTTATAACAAGAACTTCACACTGTTCTCTAACTAAAAATTAGTATTTTATTCTGTTTCCTGGTTGGAAGGAGACAGATTTAAACACTCGGGACCCCACGCCCCCCCCACCACCACACATGCAGGTGCTCCCTTTAAGAACTGAGTATAGGCAAGTAAAGCCTTCGGGTTTCAGAAGCGAGGCCAAGTGCCAGGCCTTGGGCTTGGAGGGAGTTCTCTCCAGTGACAAGCCTCTGGAAGCCAACACTTCTCCCCCGTCAGGCTCTGAGCAGACACAGCACCGAGCAGCAACGCCCTGCTCTCGGCAGGCCGTGGGCCACTGTCGCTAACCTCTTCTCCTGCACAAACAGCCCCCGGATGGGACCGAGAGCTCACTCTGAGTCCTGGACCCTAACACCGTCACCATGGAAACACTTGCTTATACATTTTGTTTTGTCTGTCTATTATTAAAATATTTGGATATGCGTTTTAAACAAAGCAAAGGGAAGTAAACAAACACCAGGGCATGCAAAGGCTCCCCACACAGCAAGGCTCGCACAGTCTCCCTGTTACAGGGAAGAAGCCCGTCGAAGAGGACAAGGTTGCCGGGGCCAATCCCTCTGAGGCTAAGAAGCCAGCAGAAGGTGAAATTATGCACTTTTGAACACACTCTACGCCGGATGGCTCAAGGAAGTCACAACTCACCTTCGTTTTCGAAGGATGTGAATCCAGATGGTCCCAGAAAGGAAAAAGAAAAAGGCCATAGAAATGTATAATTTAGGGAGGGGGATCTCTCCTGCGGAGAGGTAGCTGTCAGGGTTCTTCTCTGTGATCTCAATCTGAAACAAACATGAAATTAATGTTTACTTTTCAGGAACAGATCATCCCATAGTCTGCAATCTGTCACCAAAGCTGCTTCACTGGGCTAAGGAAGCAGGTAACAACCACATTCCTAATGCACAGGTTCAAGTGTAAAAACATCCCAAGTTGCTTTGTATTTTTTTGTTTGTGAATCCTCTGCAGAGATGGGATTCTGGCCACATTTTTCTCCTCTCTGTTTAAGTGCTGTTAAAACCTACTCTTACAATGAAATCATATGTCTCACATTTTACAGGGCTGACAAAATCCACGAGGAACACCTTCTGTACAGTACTCACATCAAGACTGAAGGAAAACTTGTCCCCAGACCGCACTTCGTTCCCAGAGCATTTATGGAAATAAAGACTGTAGAGGCCTTCTTGGTCATTGGTGCTGATGTTAAAGAAAAACTGAAAGTGAAGAAGACAAAAATTGAAGAGTACCCAAATCCTCAGCTAAATGCTTAAATCTTAGAGATTATGAATGTTATGGAGAGAAAAAAATACAGATTTCTTAATTTCTTATCGGATTCTCCAAGAGCAGAAACGGATGTTTCCGGGACACGTGGGTGGCTCAGTCGGTTATGTACCTGCCTCTGGCTCAGGTCAGGATCCCGGAGTCCTGGGATCAAGCCCTATGTTGGGTTCTCTGGTCAGTGGGGCACCTGCTTCTCCCTCTCCCATGCCTCTCCCCTCCCCCTGCTCATGCTGGCTCGCTGTCTCTCTCAATTAAATAAGTAAAATCTTTTTAAAAAAATCCAAAGTAAAATAAACAGATGTTTTCTTATTCTGTGATTCCGTCTCAATATTTTGTTATTAATAATTTTCAAGGTAGCAAGAAAAGGGGTCAGAACCGCTCAGGGAACACCTCCGTACCCACCACTGAGGTTCTACGACCTCATTTTGACCCAGATGCCCCTACCCGCGGTGGCTCCCACTGAGGACTGCAGGGATAACCTACGAAGCAGGTACCTTATTTCCAAGTCAACATACTCTTTTGCTCTTTAGGTAAAAAATACTGGAAAAAAGGAGGCTCCTCTGCTACTTGAAAAGGTAAAGGACAAATATTCCCTCATTAAAACTGACTCCTGTGATTTCAGGCAAGAGAAGGGCTATGTTTTTTACATGGGCACATTTTCCTATTTCTCACATGTTTCATGGGTACAAATGAAGTTTAATATAAGTCCAGACATTTTATATATAAGACCATAGAATACGACTCCTTGGTCAATTCTATGGAGCATTTTGTTAGAAGCCTAAAATATGCTGCTTTGATACATGATAAACTGTAAAGAGAAGCCAGGAACTGATAGGAATGATACTTTTCTTAACAGCTGGGTAGGGATGTGAGGGTAACACGGGGTCTCTGGGGTGCTGTCACTATTCTATTTTTGGTCTCCATGATGGTTACAAAGTTATTATTTATAATCATTTGTACTCGACATAAATACTATGTGCTCTTCTGCAAGCATACTACACCACCCAGTTAAAAAGGATAGGGAAGGGGTGCCTGGGTGGCTCAGTCAGTTAAGCCTCTGCCTCCAGCTCAGGTCATGATCCCAGGGTCCTGGGATGGAGCCCTGCATTGGGCTCTCTGCTCAGCAGGGAGCCTGCTTCCTCTTTTCTCTCTCTCTCTGCCGCCTCTCTGCCTACTTGTGATCTCTGTCAAAAGAATAAATAAAATCTTTAAAAAAAAAAAAAGGGTACGGAAGAAAGAGACATTTGACAAGAAGACTGAAATAAAATACCAAGAATATTCAAGGTGAAATTATTACTTTGTTAAATTATGTCCTGAACTCAGCAATGTAAACCTAAGAGCATGTGTTTTAGTCCACACAGGGGGGAGCCAGAATACGTTTCTAAACATAGTAACTTTTAGTTCAAAAAATAAGAATCATATGAAGTTTCTAAGAAATAGCTATTTTTTAAAAGGTCTGTATAATCTTCATGGTTGATCAGAATAGGCACCTGACCTTAAAAAAAAAACAAAAACAAAAGTGTATGTTTTAGAGTGGGAATAAGAGCTAACAGCCCCTTTCCTGCTTTAGGCAGATAAAATATCATCTCTGCTCTGTGGATAGAGCAGAAAAGCTCACAATGACTTCCTTGTCCAAAATCAGGATACTGAGTAGCAGAACAGCAAGGTGTCACCTACAAACTTCATTACAAGAAGGGAAGCCAGAGAAGAGGCAGACTGTCCGTCCACTGCCTGTTTCCTGTGTCCTGAGAAGCCTGTGAACTGGTTATCTCAATGTCCTTAATCACGACACTCCTCCTAACACAAAGCTTTAGTCACTGACAAGTATGTATATCCTATCATGCTTTCCTTGGTGATTTTTTTTTAAAGGCTTCAAGAAATTTCAAAAAAATTACCTTATTAAGAACTTTTTTAAAAAAGATTTTATTTATTTATTTGACAGACAGAGATCACAAGTAGGCAGAGAGTCAGGAAGAGAAGCAGGCTCCCTGCTGAGCAGAGAGCCCGATGCGGGGCTCGAACCCAGGACCCTGGGATCATGACCTGAGCTGAAGGCAGAGGCTTTAACTCACTGAGCCACCCAGGCACCCCCACTTCATTTTTTATTTTTTAAATTTTATTTATGTATTTGAGAGAGAGAGCACAAGCAAGGGGAGTGGCAGGCAGAGGGAGAGGGAGAAGCGGACTCCCCGCCGGGCAGGGGGAGCCAGATGCAGAACTCGATCCCAGGACCCTAGATCATGACCTGAGCCAAAGGCAGTCACCCAACCAACTGGGCCACCTACACGCCCTTAATAAGCACTTTAAAGTGAGAGAAAGAAAAGAGAAAAAAGTACCTTTTGTATTTTCTTAAGGAGGCAGTAAAAAAGTGATTAAACATAAGGATGGGCCTTGGAGTCAGACAAACCTGGGTCTGAATCCCCGCCTTGGGCAAGTTACTTAACCTCTCTGAGCCTCAGATCCCTCATCTATAAAAGGGAATAATAACAGTGCCCCCTCCATAGAGCTGCCGGGAGGATGAACAGAGGTAATGACCATGGGTAAGCGCGCCACACCCATTCCAAGGGCCCCATTATTACTAATGGACAGACTATTATTACGGGCCAGGCCCAAGATTAGGGATTTCATTTGCATGAGAAAGAAAACAAATTAAAAAAACCCTCTCCCTTATGGCCACCCTCTAAAGGGAGCCACAGAAAATAAGCATAATAAATGAGTACATAGCAGTGTGGGGAAGCAGTGTCAAGGGGAAACCAGCAGGAGGAGGGGAGGGAAAGAAGCTGCATTTAAAACAGGGTGAATGGAGGAAGCTTTGCTGAGAATATGACATTTGAGCAAAGGCTTGAAAGAGGAAGATATTAATCACTGGCTTCTGAGGGACAAGCATTCCTGCCTGTGGGTACAGTCAGAGCAGAGCCCGAGGCCTGATCATTTCTACGAGCAGCGAAGTGGCCTCTGTGGCTGGAGCGGAAACAGGAGCCAAGGTCAAAGAGGAGACTGCAGCCAGACTGTATGGCCTTGCAGACCAGCAAGGGCTGGAGCTTTTGCTCTGAGGCAGGTTGGAAGCATCCACAGGCTCTCAATGAGCTATTAATCCCTGTGGTCACTAAATTTAAAGACCGTGTAAAAACTGTTAGGCAAAATAATGTATGCTAAAAGAGATCAGAACAGAGGATGCAGGGATGGGGGCCACTGAGGGGGTAAAAACAGAGAATCTTGGTAGAGAGTGGGAGGCACAGGTGCGTGCATTTGTCAGAACTGATCAAACTGCATATTTAAGACCTGTGCATTTCACTCTAAGCAAATTATACCTTAATTAATGAAAACTGGTTAGAAAAGGGGCAGTGATTCTTACAAATTAACGTTAAATGATTATTTGTACAGTGCTTCTAAAGCACTTTCATGTTAAAAAAAATTGATACTTATAATAACCCAATGAGATAGGTGCCATCACTATTCACTCTTAGATGATTAAAGACAAGATCCAGGAGTTAAGAGAGCTAAGATCATCAGCCAGTAAGTGGGTGCTGAGACCCTATCCAATGTCCTACCCCAAACACAAGCTGTGGTTGTGGTATGAAGAACGGGGCCAGATGGGCAGGTCACTGAACGCCACTGACCCTTGGTGAACACGTCTCTAAAATCCTACCAGCATCCTAAATGATCACCAGTGGTCCTTCTAGGTACAGAATTCTGTGCTTCTCCTGAGTGGCTCAGTGGGTTAAGCCTCTGCCTTTGGCTCAGGTCATGGTCTCAGGGTCCTGGGATCAGCCCAGCATGGGGCTCTCTGCTCAGCAGGGAGCCTGCTTCCTCCGCTCTCCCTGCCTGCCTCTCTGACTACTTGTGATGGCTATCAAATAAATAAATAAATAAATCTTAAAAAAAAAAGAATTCTGTGCTTCTAACACACTCCAAACGGGAGGCAGCATGGGATTAAAGAGCAGCCAGGTGGGGACAGCCAGGCAGAGATGGGCCTTGTCACTTACACTGGACATTCACAAAGTCACTCATTCTCAGAGACAAGATCAGCTAAGTAGTGGGTAACAATACCCACCTTGTGGGTTTGCTATGGAGAGGGCTACTGCATTTGAGTGATCTGTAGAATGCCTAAATTATTATTCCTAAATTCAAAATTCCTTTGCAAATTCACCCTTTACACTGTAGAGATAAATCCGATGAAGATTACTCAAAGAGAAGACATACCTGAAAAGAAACTGCCCCATCACTATTGTGAACAGAAAAGGATTTTTCTCCCGTTGCCTAAAAAAAAAAAAAAAGACACAACAAACTGTTTTAGGATGATACTGGCAGAAAATGTATACTAATAAAAAAAATTAAAACAAACAAAAGCACATCCTTCTTAAATCTTAAATTTGCTGACCTTCAAAAGCCCTCTGGAAATAAAATTCACTGTCCTTTCTAGATGTCTGCGATCCCCTTTCATGGAGAAAGAAACTCTTCCTCACCCACTTCCTTTTCTTAGCTGTCTCTTCTGCCCCCCACTAGCTCCCTATTCCCTCCCCCCCCCACCCTGATCCCCCTGGAGCGTGTCTCCATTCTTACAGCTTCAGGAGGACTACAGATGCCAACCAAGGTCATATCCCGACACTTCACCTGGACACCATTCCCAATTTCAAATGATGAGCGTATTACTGTCACGGGTACAATGGACTAACTCCAGGAATGAGAAGGAAAGACCTACACCCAAAAACATGGATGAACTCAAAAAAATTATGCTGAGTCAAAGAAGACAAAGAGAGCAGTGCTGAATAGGGCACTTTTGTAAAGTTCTAATCACTCATCTACAGAGGCAGATCAGCGGTTTATTTGAGGACGGTAGGAAGATGGAGGGGCAAGAGAACCTTGTGGGGTGATAAATAAGTTCACCGTTTTGTGGTGGTGGTGGCTTCACCGGTGTACACTCAAGTCAAAACTTAGCAAACTGTCACTTTAAATATGTGTAAGTTACTGGATGTCAATTACCTTCAACACAGCTGTAAAAACAGAATACTGCCATCTGGATGCCCCCTTACTGAAAAATCAAGATATCCCATCCCAAAATGTTCCCAATTTTTTCCTTCTGCTATTTCTACCATCTATTCTTCTACTGAAACAAAAACAAACCAAAAAAAAAAAAAAAAAAAAAACTACTTCCTTCCTCCCCCACCCGCAACACTGCCCCCATTCTTTATCCACATCCCAAGACTCCAAGTCCTTCTGCCCCTAAATCTGTACTGTCACAACCGTGTTCTTCCTGGTCCTCCTAATTTCACTCTCTCTGAGGCTGCTCTGCCCATGACTTTCAGAACATCTGCCCCAAACACCACCTGCATCACAGTCCTTCCTGATCAAGAACTCCTGACAACTTCCTATTTTCTGTGCCATCAATGAATACCCTCTGGTGTCTGGGCTTTTATTATCTAAGATAATAAAATAAAATAATAAAATAAAATAATAAATAAAATAATAAAATATTATCTAAGATCCCTCTCTCTGCTCCCAAAGGCCAGAACCAAGGATCTGTCATGCTCATTCCCATTTCCAGTCTGCTTATGACATTCCTTCCTCTTTCCCCAAACAAATCTGCCAAACTCCAAGCCCTGACTCCCCCCCTTCCCAAGGGCTCCCCCTCACTGTCTGACCCTCTACCGTGCAAGTGCTGTACAACTCAGAACTCAATGTTACTTTGAAATTCTTCCAACCTGGTAACATTTCCTCTCCAAACAGACAGCAACCCCCTGCGGATTAGGCATGTGTATGTGTGTAACTTTATGTCATGTACGTATATAAATATACCCCCACTCCCCCTCACATCCCCACACACATAAGTTTACATATCCATCCACACACATACACACATATGTACATATACAACCAGGAAAGCTGGAAACGGGGTGGTCAGTTCTTACCTTTGAATCTACTGTGCTTCTTTTAGATTTTCCACTGTCTAGAAACAGAAACATTTAGAAGATATTACTGCATGATTCAGCTTGTATCTGATTACAGTGTCATTTTCTGAGGCTCTAGCTTGTCTAATGTCAAATACTTCGAGCTAACGGAAGGTTGAGGCCATATGCTATCTTGTACACTGACAACTCCTCAGATTCCAAAATAATTCTTGAGCCGCAGAAGCAGCAAACGAGTGTGTTACATGATCAGTGCTCTCTAATAAAGGATAACATTTAGTCCCAACAGGGAAATCATCTCTGAATAATCCCATGTCTGTTATTGTCAGAGCGGCCGCATGGAGTGACCTTCCTCATTCTCTGAGTTATCCTGCTTGAGAACAGATCATTGTTTTAAAATACATAGATAACATTTATTTACACACATGGAAAAATTAATAGCAAATTTTATTAGCACAATTCATACTTTTTTCCCCCACAGCAAGGTGTGCTAAGACCGCCAATCGCTCCTTTCACGGAACAGAGAGGGCGTCTGTGCCTTATTCTCACTTATTATCACTTGAGACACCCTTCATAGGGAAGACAGGATTTCAAACTCCCTGCGGGAAAGAACTTTAGAATAAGAGAAGGAAAAGAGCACTTTCCGCGCAGTGCATGCATATGAGGGCTAGAAAGGATCGGTGTGCAGACACTAAGCTACACCATCACACAGATGTAACATTTCTACATGTCTTTTAATCTGGGTTAGAGTTTTGATAGGCTGAGAAAAAAATGTATAAATAATACAATAAACAGTGAGTTCTCTTTGAAGAACTAAACTATTAGACAAAGGTGACAGTTAATAAAAGAGGCAATAAATATAAACTAGCCAATCAACGTCTGGAGATAAAGTGCAGCCTCAGTAGAGAGAAGGAAAGCAAAACCAAGAATAACCTTCTCGCCTTTTACTTTGGGATTAACACAAACACACACCAAAACCCCAGTCCAGGCTAGGACATGGTGATGTGGGCACTATTCCTATAGATTTCCCAAAAGGAGCATAGAATCATACAACGCATTGGAAAGGAACTGAAAACAGGCACCACTCTTCTCCAAAGCATTCATATCCTTTGAACCAAACATTTCAATTCTGGGAATCCATCCTAAAGAAAAAAGTTCTAGATAGGACCAAAGTTCTACAAATAAAGAATTCCCAATGCAGCAGTATTTATAATAGCAGACAGTGGAAATGTCTTCTCAAGGGGGAAGCTTGAGCAAATTACAGTCTCCACGTAACAGGAGGGCTGGTAAGAATGAGCTGCCTGCAAGCTGAGTGAACAGGGATGCTTGGGAAATTACAAACACGACTATGAGCTTCTCTTGCTTGCTCTGCTTTCTCTCTCTCAAATAAATTAATTTAAAAAATCTAAACAGAAAAAAAAATTAAAAAAAAAAAAATCAAACATTCCAGACCGAGAGCCCAGAAGGAATACAGATTACTCAAGTTCTTGTGCTGCAAGGACGAGGGACTTTTCTCTTCCCCACCTTCCCCCCAGTTTCCACCTTTTTAACGGTTACGTAATTTTGTACGACCCCCAAAATAACATCAGTGCTGTGACTGTGTGTGTTTTTACTTGGGGACAAAAAAGAATCTACAGAGCAGGGCAGGGAAGGAGACGCTGTTCTGTGCCCGACAGCCGACCTTGTTTTGGCTGAGTCTGGTTGCCCGCTGAAACAGCGTGAGCCCCGGGCTCCTGGCTCTGGCCGAGGACCTTCTCATCCCTGCTGAAGACGATCTTTGGTAACTGCGTACCAGCTTCTGGTGGGGCTTTTACTCTCACCCTACATTCAAAGTAAGAGAAAAGAAAAGAAGTTCAAGGTAATGTGATGGTCATCTGAGTGCCACGTGTTACACACTGTCTCAGTATCCAAATCCATCATCTCAGACAGTCCTTGTGAATCCCTGATGTAGATTCTAGGAGCTCCTCTGTGCACCTGCTAAAATGCGGACTTAGGAAGGTTAAGAACTTGCTGAAGAGTGGTGAGGCCGGAAGCAGCCGGGCGAGCACCCAGCATTCTCACTCTGAAGCTTACGTCCCTAGCAACCACACGGTTCTCACGGACGTACTTTCCCCCTAAGCATCTATAAGGTCTTCAACAAGGGGACTGGAATAAGGGGCAAAAAACCTGGTAAGATGTTAAAGTGAACTTGAGGGGGGCATGGGAGAGGCAGCGGGCACAAGCCGTGGCGGGCTGGGAAGCACTTCCTCTCTTCTCTCTCCTTAAAGATCCCATCCTACCAGGGAAGGGCAGGGGAGGCCCCACACCTGAATGGACACGTGAGCTGAGCTAGCACGGCCGAGCTGGAGGGGAGCACTTCTCGTCCTGCCTCATGGAGGAGAGGCCTGCCCCTCTCCCTGAATGTCAGCTGACGGTAAATAATGAACTTACTCTGTTGAACACGCCATGCTACTTCAAGCTGCTCTGCCTTTGCCTTCAATGCTCTTCCCTTATTTACCTGGTGAAGTCCACTCACTTGAAGGCTCGCTGGGCCAAGAGTTGCCTGAAGCCTTGCCTCGTCCTCTGCAATTCACCAGTGTCTCTGCCCCACTATCTCGCTCTACTGCCGGGTTCATCTGTATTGGTGTTTGGCCTCCCTTGGCCATCTCCAAGCTCCTTGGGAGTGGTACCTCTGTCTCCCCCATCATGTTCTTAACCTCCAGCACTCAGCACAGTATTTGGCACATGGCGGACACTCAGTAACTGACAGCTTAACTACCGAATTCCCTGTAACTTTACTTGAGGATGGAACTGAAGGAACATGAGAATTACTTACTCACTTCTGGAGATGTCTAGGATTAGAAGGGTGACAGAGACAGACTGCTTTTTTAAAATACAGTAATTCACATCTTCATCCTGAGGAAGGAAGACCCCTCTTATTCACTCACACTAGAACAAGGCAAACAAATGATCCAACCTCCAACCCAAACAACACAACCGTGCCCACAGCTCAGACATGTGGGGTAGTCCAAGCAGCCACCACCGCGAGAAAAGAGCATGGACAGAAGCAGGGTGCTCTCACCCAGTGTCCTGGGCTCACATGAAGGGAGGGATGAGGTCACATGTGTAGTGCTCACCAGATAAGAAGAAAATCCGTCATTCTTTGTGCGGTCCAGGCTGAATCCAATCTAAGGGGGGCAAAAAGAGTAGAGGTAAATACCGACACGATACTCTGGCATCCATACCTTTCTTACTCAAAGAGCAAAAAAAGTGATTCTTTGGCCTAGGCTTCTCATGGTTTTCTTAGCGTTCGTTTTATAAAAGGGATTGTTAATTACTAAAATTATTTAAGAATTACAACTTACGTGTTCAAAGTAAAACTATTTGATGCCTGTTCACAAGTTTAATTTTCTCCATGTTCCGAGACTTTGTATTTAAGTGTGGGGTGAAGCTCCCATCTGAGCAACAGAGAAGGGTAAAGCCCTTGACCTCCTGGGAAGGCACTTACAGTTGTGTCCTTGTCTGTGGCTCCCGCAGGGTCATTTACGGAAAGGCTGCTGACATTAACCACCATGTACCCGTCCTTGAAGAATCCAAAGGTGTTCAGGTGAACCTTATGCCTCACATCATCCTGAAAAGATTTAGAGCGGTAGAATTAGTAATAGGGAGAAGTTAACATGTTTATTTAAACTACTTATTTGCTTGAAAAGTATGGTTATCTAGCTAACTAGTCACTGTTTCATATACTTGACAATATATATAACACCTTATCTTGCTCCATAAGCTGAAAAAGACTCATCAGAAATTCATAAGATAGCAACAGTTTTGCAGAAGGAGACACATCATAGACTGAGTTCATTCCCATACATATGTAAGGGTCCCAGGACTGACCTGGTGATCAAGTGGAATGGGAATTCCAGGGAAAGAGGAACAAGGTTTTCGTCATGCTCACAAGCTTCCTGCTGGCAAGGCCTGGAATCCAGCAGGCACTCAAAATATGTTGGGGGGGGGGGGGGGGGGGGGGGGGAGCGGCCAAAGCTGCCCCCGGAATACACTCCTTTTTATAAACCTTCTGATGAGTCTTATGAACCTGCCTCTTCCCACTGCAGGATGATAAGGGCTACTGACATTACTCTCCTGATTTATAATACAATTTTTTCTATATTTGCATCTAAACATGATGTTTCATATGACAGGTCTTCAGGAAACAAAGCCTTATGCAAAAGGAATCCAGGAACTAGCCAGCTGGAGACAGATCTCTGGGACATAGGATAATCCTGAGATTTGCTGAAACTGAGCACATGGGCAAATGCCTACTACAGCGGCTTGAAACGGCCTCAAAGTTGTGATTCCAATCTCAACTAAGCCAATAAATTTCAAGGCCGGGAGAACCATATTAGTGAATACTTCTCAAGTTGAGGCTCCACTGAGACATGTCCTGATGTGTAAAGTCATGAGTTTTATTTTTATTTTTTTTTAAAGATTTTTTTTTTATTCATTTGAGAGAGAGAGAGAAGGAATGAGTGGGGGAAGGGGGAGAGGCAGAGGGAGAGGGAGAAGCAGGATCCCCGCTGAGCAGGGAACCTGACACGGGGCTGGATCCCAGGACCACGGGATCAAAACACGAGCTAAAGGCAGACGATTACCCAACTGAGCCACCCTGGGGACCAAGTCATGAGTTTTATATAGAGAATCATTTGCCTAAATGAGAGCACCTTCGGTAAGTCCGCAATAAGCTAACAGTTGTGAAGTAGCTCCTGAATGTCAGGTGCCAAGCTAAGCACTTTTCTAAAACCGGCAAAGTCATTTTTGCTACTGTTTGCATCTTGCTCATATCTGTTAAATTCTACCCTTTGAGGGCACCTGGATGGCTCAGTAGGTTAAGCGTCTGCCTTCGGCTCCGGTCATGATCCTGGGGTCCTGGGGTGGAGCCCAGCATCGGGCTCCCTGCTCGATGGGGAGCCTGCTTCTCCATCTCTCTCTGCCGCTATCCTTGCTTGTGCTTGCACGCTCTCTGTCAAATAAATAAAATCTTTAAAAAAAAAAATTCTACTCTTTGTTTCTTTTGATTGTCACCATCTGACAACACATCGAGATGCTTCGGGGACTCCAGCTCTGCTCTTCGGCTGTCTCTGCTGGCATTCCCAGCAAGCTGGGTCTTGGTGTGAGCGGGGATTTTCTCTTTCTAGACTTGGGTCTCCAAGTCTGATCGCAAACCCCAAAGCCCTCTGAGGAGAGGCTGTGGATCAGATCTTTGGCAGACAAATCGTAAACTGTAACCCCCTACAGAGCTAAAACAGACATTTACAGCCATTAGGAGGGTTATGTTTCCCAGTCCACTCTTCTATTCAAGGAATATAGCTCTGAGAGTCGTATAATATTAAGGGCTAAGGAGAGGGACATGGTTCCAGCATTTCTCCCCACAGCTCAATCCCATCCAAGTCTTTGGCTCCTGCTCCCAGCCAACTGCTCATACTCCAAGGCTCCAGGGGCCAAGTCTCCGCAGCGTCTCAGGGCGGCGCTGGCTCGTGCTCTTTTACCCACTAAGACTGCAGCTGCCCCCCCCCCCCCCCCCCACCTTTTTTTTTTTTTTTTTTTGGCCCCTGGGAACTTCCCTTATTTTCCTAGGATTCAGCTATGCATTTAAAGCATGTTTGCTGGACTTCCATCTCCTGGTGGAGCCGTGCGCGGTCTACCAGAACTCCCAGGGAGAACAAGAAAAGCAGATCATAGAAGTCATCCACTGGAAGGCAGGAGAGGGCTGCCAGACCACAAAACCCAGAAAAGCTAAAGCTCATGTCCTTTCTCAGGATTCTAAGAGAGATGATCTGAGTGACTATTTTCTCGCCTCTCCCAATGCTGCTACATGGCTACTACCATCCGAGATGCACAGGACAGAAATCAATTCAACTACATATGACGGATGCCTTAGCACACCATGGCTTCCTACGCTGGCAGAATGCCCGGATGAGAAGGGCAGGAGAGTCAGAATGAATAAACAAATTCTCACCACGTGCCACAACATACATGAACCTCACAACATGATATGAAGTGAAACGAGCCACATCACCACAGGTACAATCAAGTTGAATGTGGGGGAAATCACCCATGGGGACAGAGGTCAGGACGAGGATGACTCTTGGGAGGGAGAGGTGTGCGGTCGCTCACAGGAAGGGGTCTTAAGGAGCTTCTGGAAGTGCTTCGTAACATTGTTTGTTGCTGGTTGTACAAGTGTGTCTACCCTGTGAAAATTCACTGAATCAGAGGCTAATGATGAGTATTTTTTTAGCATGTACATTGCATAAGGTTTAAATTTTACAAGTGTGCTTGTTCTAATTTAACCAGCATCTAAATGCTGTGCAGCAAAATGGAAGCCTGTTAAAGATTGCTTAACTCACTTAGTTTACCACCGTATGTACTGTCTAGGGATGTGGGGGGAGAAATGCTTCCGTCACATGCTTAGAGGAGTCGTTTTGCCCATATAAACATTATACTCCTTTACTGTTTGTTCTCACTTTTATATTATCATGTCACATGATAAAACAATGCCATTAAAAACACATCTTTGAAAAATATTTTAAACAGATGCCCCATCTCCACACCAGAGAAAGGGCTTTCCTGTGATAGCTCATCCTTGGGCAGCCCAGCGTAGTTTGGGGCAGGAGCTCCACGACAGGGATGCAAGCACGAGCTCAGGGGTGACAGGACTACCCCAAACAACGCAGGCCACAAGTGGTGAAGCTGGGACGTCAACACCAATCTGGTGCGGAAGCCACTTTCACGCTACCGCCTCCCAACATGCACAAGTAATCACGACGGCACACGAGATGCGCGCTAACAACCTGGAAATAAGGGACCAATTCCTAACAACATACAACCTCCTAAGACTGGCTCACGAAGAATGAGAAAATCTGAACAAACTGGCAGTGACTGAGGAGACTGAATAGGCAATCAGACAGGAACGACGGCGACGGCAAAACGAACAAGGACCCCTCTCAAACTCTTCCAAAAACACTGAAGAGGAGGGAACACGTCCAAAGCCATTTTACAAGGCCAGCATTATCCTGATACCAAAGCCATATAAGGACACTACGAGGAAAGAACATCACAGGCCAATACCACTAATAAGCCCAGATGAAACACTCCTTAACGAAACAACACCGAACTGAATTCACCAGCACGTGAAAGGGTCATATGCCATGAGCAAAGGTCATACACCCCCGGGGATGCAAGGATGGGTGAATATATGCAAATCAATAAATGTGAAATACCACATTAACAAAATTGAAAGGAAAAAAATTCCTAGGATCATGTCAGTAAGTTTTAAAAAAGCATTCAACAAAATACAACATCCTTTCACGATAAAGACTCTCAACGAATCAGGTACAGAAGAAATGTACCTCAGCAGATTTCAAGCCACATAAGACAAGCCCACAGTACGGAGGTCAACCTTAACAGCGAAACACTGAAAGCTTTTCCTCTAAAATCAGGAACAAGATAAGGTTCCCCACTCTCACCACCACAGTACTGGAAGTCCTAGCCAGAGCAATTAGGCAAGAGAAAGAAGTAAGAGACATCCACATTGCAAAGAAGTAAAACCGTCACTATTTACAGATGGCATGAGGAACTCAAACCACTCAACAGCAAAACAAAAAACAACCCCCCCCAACAACGCCAAAGAACCTGATTAAAAAACGGGCAAAGGATCGCAATAGACATTTCTCAAAAGACATACAGATGGGCAACAGGGATTTGAAAATGTGCTCAACACGACCCATCAGGGATATGGAAATTAAAACCACAATGAGGGGTGCCTGGGTGGCTCAGTGGGTTGAGCCTCTGCCTTAGGCTCAGGTAATGATCCCAGGGTCCTGGGATCGAGCCCCAGCATTCGGCTCTCTGCTCCGCAGGAGCCTGCTTCCTCCTTTCTCTCTCTGCCTGCCTGTCTGCCTACTTGTGATCGCTCTCTCTGTCAAATAAATAAATAAAATCTTAAAAAAAAAACCAAAAACCACAATGAGAGATCACTGTGTAGGGGCGCCTGGGTGACTCAGTGGATTAAACCCTCTGCCTTCGGCTCGGGTCATGATCCCGGGGTCCTGGGATCAAGCCCCACATCGGGCTCTCTGCTCAGTGGAGAGCCGGCTTCCTCCTCTCTCTGCCTGCCTCTCTGCCTACTTGTGATCTCTGTCTGTCAAATAAATAAAATCTTAAAAAAAAACACAAAACCCCACTGCATACCTATCAGAATGGCTAGTATCAAAAATAAAAAAAAAAACAAGTGTTGGGGCGCCTGGGTGGCTCAGTGGGTTAAAGCCTCTGCCTTCAGCTCAGGTCATGATCCCGGGGTCCTGGGACTGAGCCCCGCATGGGGCTCTCTGCTCTGCAGGGAGTCTGCTTCCCCCTCTCTCTCTGCCTGCCTCTCTGCCTACTTGTGATCTCTCTGTCAAATAAATAAATAAAATAAAATAAAATAAAACAAAACAAGTGTTGATGAGGTGTAGAGAAAAGAGGATTCCTGCACACTGTTGGTGGAAATGGAAACGCTAACAGTCATTACGGAAAACAGTATAGAAGATCATTAAAAAACTAAAAATAAGACGATCACATGATCCAGCAATCCCACTTCTG